TCCATTCAACACTGTCACTGAGCACGTACTATGTCTAGACCCTGTGGCAGATATCCCGTTGGACGTAAAAATGAATTCAATGTCCTGTGCTCCTTGGACACCATATTGCAGGGCTGACTGTGCAATGCTATAATGGAAGTATCGGCAACACAGGGACGGAGAGATGATTGACACAGCAGGAGCCAGATCAAAGAAAGCCTTGAATTGCCAGACGAAAGCCTTTGGATTTTAGCACAGAAGGAATGGAAAAGGAGGGAAACTAAAATGTGTTTTTCATTTTTAATTCTTCTTTGGAAAGTGGGAAGTTGTAAATAGCTCTGTTTCGAAAAGGCCGTTCTAGAAGAAAGTAAAGAAAACAACTGAGAAAGGCCTTGGAATAATAAGCAAGAAGCATGTCCAGAGGAAGGCATCTGTGATGATAGGGGCTTGGAGCAGCTCATGACACTCAGTGTGCACAAGCCCTGGGGCTGGGAGAGAGGGAGGGATCAGAGGGAGGTGTTGAGGAATGGGGGTGGGCAGGGGTGGGACTGATGCTGTGGAGATAGCAATCTAAATTTATCCAGGAGTCCAGAAATCAGAGACAACTGATAAGTCATGATGAATGGAAAACTACTGGCCTTGAGTTGGAATCAAATTCCAATCCAGTCTCTGTCATAGATTAGCTGTGTGACTTGAAACAAATCACTTCATTCTCTGAACCTATTTTCTCAGCTGAACAGCGGGGATCACAACCTTCGAATCTCAGATCGTAATATATAAAAAGATACATGAATGCACCTTTTATTGAATCTGAGAATCCAAGGCCTTGCTCCACGTGGTGAGTTGGAATGAATCTCTTCCCCTTCCTTGCATGTTCCCATCTTATGCCATCATATGACCTTGGACTAAACATGGGCTTTCAACTCTATGATTCCTAAAGGTCTCTCTAACTCTAAACTTCCAGGTTTCTATGACAAATTTGGATTTTGTCAGATTAAGTTGACTCAGAGCACCCAAATGAAGCTATTCTCCTAAAGAAAATTATAGTCAGGCCTATAAATAATACAGCCATGTTGCATGTTTACACATACTTTATTGAATCTTGGCAGACTGTGCAATCTATTCTGGTTTGATTTTGAAGTGAAAATGTTATTTACTGCTTAAAGGCAGGCAGCAATGAAAAGGCAATTATGTTATTACAGCCATTAAAGACAGGCTATATATAGTGTCCCTCCGGTAGGTCTTCTCACCATTTCCAACTGGAAATTTCCCTCGCTGAAATTTACCACAACCAGAGGAGATGATTTGTTTTGAAAATGTAACATGGAGAAAGGAGAGAGCGCCCCCCAGGAAAAGGGCAGGTTGAGGGAATGGGAGACCACCAGATAACTTTTGTAGGCCTGATGGAAAGGCTTCAGCAGCCCTTTGCAGGAACTCAAACCAGGGGGGTGATGAAACAATGGTGACCTTGAGCCAGGGGTTGCCGGGTTAGTCCAGCACCTTCTATGAAAGGATCCTTGGGCTCAAAATGAGCAAACCATATGTGCTCTCCACCTTTCAGTGAATCAGGGGCTAATCAGAGTTAGAAGTTCTCTGGTTTCTCAAATCACCAAAGCAGAATTCAGGGACCTAAAATGGAAGCAAGATGATCTCGATGTGAAGGGTATAGTTAATTTACAGAACAGACGCTTCTACATGGGAAATCTGTGCTTTTCTGTCTGACTCGGGGGCAATTTTGAAAAAGAATAGCTAGGTTCACAAATGCCATCCTCACAATAACGATGGGGGTAGGATAGAGGGAGGAGAAACAGACATAAGGACCTAGAAGATAAAGAGAGAAGCTCCCCAGGGACAATCATTTTATCTTGAACCTCGGGTGTCCAAGGATGCCAGAGCTCACGGTGATTATGGAGAATGATGGCCTCGTCTGGGTTCCCACAACGAGCAGTTCCACAACACAAAGGTGGTAGTTTATTTTGGGAAGTGAAGAAACAGGAGTGAGAGGCTGGGGAGAGTAAACCAAGAAGAAGGAGATCCAACCCAAGGGTCAATGATTGCTGTGCTCCGTCCAGTTGGGTAACCGGTACTTGAAGCCGAGGACCCCTGATGAGCTGTAAGGGGAGAGTTTATCCACCACTGGCTCTTACAAGGCTCCGCATGGTTGTTGGTCCCCTCTTACTTCCAGGTTTCCACAAGTGTCAGGATGGCAAAATAGGTTTCCTCCAACACTCCACATGAAGAGGAGCCTGGGGCAGGAAGGGAGAGAAATGAAGGGCTGGGAGCCATAGTAGCTGGAGGCCCAGAGCTGGCTGGAATAAAAAGGTAGGCGGAGAGGATGAAAGGAGGGCCAAGAGGTGCCCCACTCATTAAGTTAGAGAAGTCGGCACTTAGCAGCAAGCAGTGACGGGCTCGCCCGGGCAAACCTAGGCGGCAGTCAAGGATGGGGAACTCGTCTAATTTTATGTTTAATATTTTTAGAAATTTCTGGAAAGATAATTTTCTTGGGAGGGTGAAGAGGACCAAAAAGAAGAAGAAAAGAAAGAAGGAAGGAAAATTGGTAGAATCAAAGGCAGATACAAATTCACTAGCTTCTTCCTTTTCTAAAACACAAAACAGAGTTTTCTTTTTTTGTAATAATTGCGAAGCTAATCCATGACTATAATAAAATATTCAAACACTTAGAATATATACGAATAAGTTTCTCTTATCCCAGATCTCAGTCTCTCTCTCCAGAGGTAATTACTGTTGAGTGTCTTGTGCATTTTTTCCAAGAATATTTTATGTATATGAATACATGTATATTTTCTTTTAACATTACAACTTAAAATACACACATCGTGGACCTTTTTTCTTTTTCTTTTCTGCTTTAAGCATTGCTTTATGTGAACATATGTAAATCTTCCTGATTTTAAAAAAATTTCTTCATAATTTTTAATGAGAAGGACTTTCATAATTCATTGAACTAGTCTCCTTTTGATAGACAGGTAGTGTTTTTTTTCTGTTTTTTTTCTCATTGGCTACAATGACCTGTTGAATATTCTTGTATGCCCTTCTCTATGCACATGTGTAAGAATATTTGAAGAAAACATTTCTAGGCGTGAAGTAGCCAAAAAATATGTGCAGTTAAACTTTTAGAAGAGATCGCCAACTTGCTTTTGAAGAATTCTTGCAGATTTACATTCTTACTCCTGGCTGGTGACTCCACAGTCTCATGACTTTACCATTTTTATTAATATAGCAGATAAAAAATATTAATCTTACTGTTACTTTAATTTCATGCATTTAATTACCAGTGATAGTGGACTTTTTATCATGTATTTATAAGCCATTTGTTTTCTCATTCTAAGAATGCCCATTTAAGAGCCAAAATAACAGACATACACATGCTCTCTGCGTAGACTGTGCCTGAATGAGTCAGGATTAATCTAAAAATCACAACTGAAATCTTTGACAGGCATTGTGCCAGGTATGGGGTGACAAAAAAGAGCTTCGATGATATAGCCCCTGCCTGCAGCACTTAACAGACGCAAAGGGAGAATCCAAATAACCTGGACATTGTCACAATGGGAACTAGAAAGTGCCACACAGTAGGGTTGGGGAGTCCTCTGACCTGCCACCTCTTTCCACTAACCTGGAGCGGGTTTTAAAAGTTAAAAAGGCAAGGAGAATAGAGCAGAGCCTTCTCAGTAGGAGGCAGTGGACTGCAAGTGTGAAGGCCAGGAGGTGGCAGACAGCATTAAGTGACAGATATTCAGAAAGCGTGAAAATGGAGGGGGCGTGAAGAGGGTGGGATGGGTGGAGGAGGAGAGAAGAGTGATGAACCGGCCCTGTTTGCCAGGCACTAAGGAGAACCACGCCCTTCAGTGCCACTACTAAGAAAGTCCCTGGCTAATCTAGAAGAGCTGGTCACCCTAGCGGGCTGAGGCTCTGTCAATAGGGCCGCTTATAAACGTAGTAAAGATTTTGGCCTTTATCTTAGGGGCAACAGTGAACAATTAGTTTTCAATAGGGAAGTGACAGTTTGGAGTTACATTTCTCAAAGTTTGGTGTTGTAGAGTCTGTATAATTTGAAAGCGGG